CCTCTAGTAATATATTTACTGAGAAAAATGGTGACGTGTTCAATACTTATTTTACCTGCTGTAAATATAATATAACATAATATAAAAAGATTTCCCAAGCTTTGACCATCTCACGGAGCACTGTTCAATCCATCATCCGGAAATGGAAAGAGTATGGCACCACAGTAAACCTGCCAAGACAAGGCCGTCCACCTAAACTTACAGGCTGAACAAGGACAGCACTGATCAGAGATGCAGATAAGAGACCCTAAACATAAAACCAGGGCTACAATGGTTTAAATCCTAACATATTCATGTGTTGGAAGGGTCCAGACCTAAACCCAGATCTGAAAACTGCTGTTCACTAACACTCTCTAATCTGACTGAGCTTGAGCTGTTGAGCAAAGAACGGACCAAACTTTCAGTCATTAGATGTTACAAAGCTGGTGTAGACGTACCCTAAAAGACTTTAGCTTTAATTGCAGTAAAAGGTGGTCCCACAAAGTATTGACTCTGGGGGGTTGAATACTTTTGCACGCTGCACTTTTTAGTTTTTTACTTGTAAAAATGTTTTCAGTCATACATAATTTTCTTTCCACTTCACTTTGTGTTGGTCTTTCACATTAAACTCCAATGAAATACATTTATGTTTGTGGTTGTGACAAAATATGGAAAAGTTCAATGAGTGTGAATACTTTTGAAAGCCACTGTGTGTATAAACAAATCATCAACATTTTTAACAGGTTTTGTTAATAATTAACACAGTCTATTTTTATCTGTTAGCATCCAGGAAAGATAAATGTGAAGTCAGCAGTATTATGTTCTGTTGGTTTCAGTCCTGAACAGGAAGTGTTTCTGTGCCTCTCCTCAGTACGCTATTGTGTTCAAAACACCAGCCTATCACAGCGCAGAGATCGAGCGGCCTGTCACCGTCTTCCTGCAGCTCAGGAGGAAGAAGGCAGGCGACAGCAGTGACCCCAAACAGTTCACCTACATTCCTCACCTGCCAGGTGAGTCTGTGACACGGCAGGTGGACCCCCTGCAGTCAGGGTCAGGTTCAGGGTTGGACCTCGGCAGTCGACCCTCTCAGGTCTCATCTTCTTATTTGCTCCTGATCTCTGTCAGACAAAGAGGAGGTGCTCCGGAAGAAGCAGAAGCTGCTGCCTCACTATGAGTCCTGGAGAGGAGGAGGAGCAGGGGGGAGAGGAGGAGGAGCAGGGGGGTTCGGAGGAGCTACAGGAGGAGGAGCTGGAGGTATGGATTAGAGCAGGGGGTCTTCAGCTTTTTGACCTCGGGGCCCAATTTGTTGAACATAAAGTGACACGAGGCCCAGTCACACTTTACCAGTGTAGGAATGTGAGATATGGCAAAAATTCATATCACGATATATATTATGATGAGTGGCGGTAATGATATATATCACAATATAAAACTTATAANCCTGCCGGAGGCACCTGGACCTGAACTCCATAATAGGGTTTTAAGTTCACCACATTTACAGTATCCGTCTTTCTATTCTGGTCTGTCCACTGTATCTGGTAATTCACAGGACCCAGCTGTTTCCTCACTACTGCTGGTCCTGACCATTTAGGCGCTAGCTTAGAGGAAAACTTATCAGTAGCTTTGGAGAGGGGATGAGACCGAACCCAGACTAAGTCTCCCGGAAAGAGCTGTACACTTCTCCTACGGGCATTATAATACTTAGCTTGTCTGACCTGGCTCAACCCTATCTTCCGCTTAACCTGTTCAGTCATTTCTTTATGTCTGTCCAAAAGTTTATAGGGCGTCTGTTGAGGGCTAGGAGAGTGGCCAATAATTCTCTCCAGGGGACCTTTGAGAGGCCGACCCAGAGTGAGCTCTGCAGGAGACCTTCCAGTTGTCTCATGCTTAGCAGCATTGATGGCAAATCTAAACTCTTGGATCCATTGGTCCCAGTTGGAATGGTGTTCTCCCACAAAAGAGGCTATCATGGTCTTTATTGTTCGGTTTGACCTTTCAGTTAGATTGGCTTGGGGATGATAACTTGTAGTAAACTTTTGAATCACCCCCCATGTGCGACAGAACTTTTCCATCTCACGGCTCGTAAACTGAGGGCCACGATCTGATACTAGCTCTTGAGGGACTCCAAAGCGGGTAAATATTTCATTCTTCAAGATGCTGGTAATTTTCTGAGCTTTGCTGTCTTTGAGAGGAAACACCTCTATCCACTTGGTAAAATAGTCAATGATTACCAGCAGGTATTTATTTCCCATCTTACTGCGAGGTAGAGGACCCATTAGGTCAACACCGATCTTCTCCCAAGCTTCGGTTACTGCGGTAGGCTGCATAAGCCCTGCAGGCTTTTTGTTGTCAGGTTTATATTTTTGGCAGGTGACACAGGCTTTAACGTAGTTCCAGACATCTTTTCTGACCGAGGGCCACCAGGCTACTTCCAGTATCCTTAACAGGGTTTTTAATTTCCCTAGKTGCCCACTTAGAGGATGATCATGGAAGTAACCGAGGAACTGGATTATCATAGACTTGGGCACGACCAGCTGAAACTTTTCGCCTTGGTTCTTGATAAAGGATTTCCTGTACCAGACATCCTGTACTTGACAGAACCCTATTCTGTTGGGGTCTCTATCAGCAGACGTCCGGACCATGTCAACCAGATTGGAATCCTTCTCCTGAGCGATTTTGATCTCAGCCAATGACAAAGGCAACTCGGATTGAGATTTGGACATGACGGCAGCGACGTACATCACGTCGGTTTTACGCACAGCCCTTGACAGTGCATCGGGAACCAAATTATGTAGCCCCTTTCTGTACTGAACTTTGAACTGATATTCTTGCAGCCGAAGCACCCACCGAGTCAAACGAGAGGATGCCTTTGGACAATTGAACGCCCAAGTCAATGCTGCATGGTCAGTAAATAGTGTGAACTCGGTTCCATCTATGAAATGTCGCCACTTCTCAACTGCCCACACTACAGCCAAGCACTCTTTCTCTGAGGTTGAATAATTACACTCTGCACCCCTCAGAGCTCTAGACGCATAGGCAATGACCCTCTCGCCCTCAGGTGTCCTTTGCACAAGTACTGCACCGAGGCCTACATCACTGGCATCGGTGTGTATCTCAAACGGCCGTTGGAGGTCAGGTTGCATAAGTATAGGGG